TGCCTTGAATAATATCGGCTTCTTTCATTCATGTTATGGGTATTTTTATACAAAGGAAATTTTTTTGTGCCTGTTGAAAATTAAAGTTTACTGACATAGCCATAAAAAATGTTGCTTTATTTATCTGACCATATTGGAATGTATTTGTTAGGTTTTCAGTCAATTAAATTTGGTTCAATAAACAATATGTGGTCATTTTTAAAATTTTCAATGAACATTCGATCAGTCCGGCCCTCGGCTTGCAGCAAAATTTTTTATCTGGCCCTCCGTCCATTTGACTTTGACACCCCTGGTTTAAGAGGACAAAGCTTCAACAAATGCTTTAGTTTTTCCAAAGGGAGCACCTTGGAGTTTCCCCGACTTTCAATACTTTCATTGCTACAGGAAATTTCCCACTACTTTGCAACAATAAATAGAACAATTACAACACATTACAGATACATATCCAACCTGAAATTTCTCCGTTTTCTTCCCCTGATTATTGACAACAGGGGTTGATAACTGCGTATTGACAACCCCAAAAGCCTTCCGACCACGACCAGTACGCAGAGGAGTTCTCATGGTTTTGGGATTGAGTGGAGTCTTCGAGGATATCTCTGTAAAGACAAATTAAATCAAAGATCCCCAGGCCGAGACACACCAAAACACCATTTGTGCTCAAATTTCCAACCTGGTATGAAGGAAAGACTTTGATTTTCCCGTTGTGTAGTGATGTGAGCCATCGTGTCTAGAAAGGACGAAACAGACGTTCACATTTACGGCCAGTGTTCCATTAGTTAGCTGTTTAACACGCTTTTGAAGTTGTAAGCCTTGGCCAATGCTTTCTATATGGGCGATTAAACAGGCTTCGACAAAAAATGTCACAAACAGGAGAAAAACTTCATATAATAAAACAGACTCGATATACAGTATTAACGGAACAGTTACCGTAGTCGTGATTGTGTGTCTGGATTATTTGTACGAGCTCCGATCTGGCAAAAGCAGAGACGTTTTGTCAAGAAAAGGAAAACGGACTGCGGCTCATCTTTTAAATTCGCTGCTCTCACGCTATTGGTCGACGCTGCAACACGATGTAAGTGGGCGGGAACCTAAAAAACACACTTCCGGTTAACGTTTTTTGTCCTTTTCCCTAATTAAGAGCCAGTGCTGGTCTGCAGCCAGGTTCTTCTCCTTTTCCACCAGATTTAAATGTAAATGTTTCTTCATGGGTTAAAAACTTAAAAAGACCATTTATGATTACGATGTTATGACAAAAGAATCTCAATTGCATTAATAAATGAAATTTCTTAATATTTTGTAAAGATGAGAATTTAATATTGTTTCCACTTCACTTGCGTTCTGGATACTGTATACTATTAACACACCATTAATGTACATGGTAGGCATAATTATAAAATCTAATTGTGTCTTAATTCGTGAAAAAAAATCTATACTGTATAGAGTATATATATA